CAATTGATCTTACTTTTACCTCAGGTGCTGAAAGGGAAATTCTCAGCCTGCTCCCAGCTTCACTGCTCCTCAGATTCACTCAGACTCTATTGTCTCCTCATTGTGGCAAGAGACTTAATGTCTGATACTGACTACTGAAGATCCTGCTCTGATCTTTTATAGCTCTCTAGTGCTGGTATTAAAAGCCTGTGATCTCAGGTGCTGAGATCCCTTTTGCATAGCTGTTTCTTTTAGGACTGGATCAATTTTGTGTAATCAGTGTGACCTTAGCTAATAAAGATCTTTCTACCTCTTAATCCCGAGTCCTGGGATTAAAATTGTGTACTACCACTGCCCAGCTTCTATAGCTTACTAGTACAGCTGCTTTGCTATTTTGATCTCCAGTGGCTTTAATAAATTATAAACAATATATCACCACAATTTTCCCTTTTTGTCTAATACAAAAAGGAAAAGTACAACTAACATAGGAAAAACTATATGCAATAAGTACAATAATTATATACAATATGTATAGCCCAACAATGTCTAACCCATTTGAATTTGACAAATTCTGAGAAAATATTCCATTTTCTATTCTGTCTTGGTGAGTGCAAAGTCTTTTACCTAATTTACTTTCTATTTTAATTTTTACTATCAAATTATATTTTTATTTATCACACCATTGTATATTTTACATTTATTTAATGAATTTTTCTTTTGAGTCTGGTAAACAAGGAAAACTATCTAGTCTTCAACTACCTCAGAGACCCAAGAAGGAAATAATATTAATTGAGTAAGCAGGAAATGCAAGCAAACATCTTTCAAAAAAATGTGAAAATGATAGAAACAGCTGGTTGCTTGAACAGTCACCCAAACTTGCTCTGCAATGTTGGGCATCCATCTCTGTCCTATAGTCCTAGCATGTCTGAGAGACATTTCTATGAAGCAGGATATTACGAAAGCCTGGACTACCTTGTCTTGGCAATGTTTTCAGTCACTCTTTTTGGTGTCCTATTTGTCCAGTTTGGACAGTATACTGCCAGCAGTTGAGGCAAGGGCATATTCTTGCCAAGTGGCTTACTTTTACCATAAAGAATGTAAACTCCATGTGAAGATTCTTCAATGCCCATCATTTTCTCTGAAGTAGATTGGTGCTTCCAGGAGCAGACATATCTCATTATCATAAAAAATAAGCTACATTATTGAAACATATTAAATGCTATATTCTGTAGATCTCTGAAGCATTTAAAGACAACCTGTCTTACTGAAAGTTCTGTTTAACCTTGTAAACAGCTAATGTGGCTACTGTAAGACCCTCAGAATGAGTAGTCTTCCAGGTTCGGTCGATACACCAAGAACTCAATATCCAGTCCAGTTGCTGCAAAACGCAAGAGGCTTTAACGAACAGGAAACATTTGGGCAAATGGGCTCCTCCAGCATGCAGGCTAGAGAGAAGCCCTGTCCCTTGGGCCCAGGTGTTTTTAAAGGCAAACCCACAAGCTTAGGGAGGGGGTGGGATCCTCTGTCCATTGAGTACAAGACCCTTGGAGGCCCATGGTCTGCTATTAGGGTCAACAGACCTTAGGGCCTCAGGGTGTGCTAATTAATTTTGTCTGGGCAAACCAGAGTTGCAGCTATCTCTTTGTTTCCTAAGGACCCTATTTACCACCTGTTGACTCACAGGAAAGGAGGGGCAGTATGAATTCTTCTTATCTCAGAGCCTGGTGAGAGGAAGTTAGCAAATTCCAAGGAACAGATATTGGTTAGCTTTCCAGGTCAGACCGTCCTTCATTTAAATTTACTTTTTGGTCTTTCATTACAAGTTCAAATGTAATAGTTGACTAATTACTAAATTACATTTCCTTATCCTATATAGTTGATAATAATAACTTTCAAGGACTAGAAATTTATATTACTTTGTTAAATGAGCTGTATAAGTATAATACCTTGAACAATATTAGAAATGTTTGTACTGTATGTTTTAGCACAAATAATCACAAATTTGTACTAATATACAACATTTGTATACAATATATCTAATACAATCTAATCAATGTACAATATTTAAAGCTATTAGTTGCTTTAAAGAGAGTATTCAATAATCTGCCTTGTTAATGATATCTTTAGCCTCTCTATTTTCTTTTCAGAGTAGATTCAATATTTTTATCCAATTTTATTCAATTTTTATCCAATCATATCTGTATTCCACTTATTTTTTCATTTAATTATAAACTGTTTGACCTATTGTTAAGGCTCATTACTGGAAGCTCTTACAACTTAAATTAACCCATATTTCCTGTCTATGTTAACCACTGGGCTTGGTCCCTTTTCTCAGTGTGGCAATCACATCTTGCTTCCTTTGTGTCTGGCCAGTGACTCTCTCTTTGCATTCCTCTCCCCGAACTCTCCTATTCTTATAGGCCCACCTTTAATTCCTTCCTGGCTGCTGATCAGTAAATGTTTTATTAAACCAATATAAGTGACAAATCTTTACAGTGAACACCATTATCCCACAATTTTGTTAATTTGGATATTTGCTCTTTAGTCTTTGATTAGTTTGGCTAAGGGTTGGTCTATTTCATTGATTTTCTCAAACAAATCTTTGTTTAATTTATTCTTTGCATCATCCTCTTTGTTTCTATTTTATTGATTTCAGCCCTCAAGTGTGCTGTTAAGTCACTAGTGTGGGATTTCTCCATGTTCTTTATGTAGTAGGCATTTAGTGTCATAAACTTTCTTATCATTGCTTTCATAATGTCCCATAAATTTGGGTATGTTGTGCTTTCATTTTCATTGAACTCTAGGAAGATTTTTTTGTTTTTTTTTTATTTCTTCCTTGACACATGTGTGATTCAGTTGACCTTTGTTCAATTCCATGAGTTTGTGGGCTTTCTGCAATTAATGTTGTTGTTGAATTCTAACTTTAAACTATGGTGATCTGATAAGATTCAGGTGTTATCCCAATTTTTTGTATCTATTGAAATTTGATTTGTTACTGAGTACCTGGTCAATTTTAGTTTTGGTTCCATGAGGTGCTGAAAAGAAAGTATATTCTATGTTTTGGTGGAATGTTCTATAGATGTCTGTTAAAAATTCATTGAATCATAACATCTGTTAGTTCTCTTATTTATATGTTAATTTTCTGTCTGACAGACCTGTTCCATGGTGAGAGTAAGGTGTTGAAGTCTCCCACTACTAGTGTATGGGGTTTTATGTGCGATTTAAGCTTTAATAATGTTTCTTTTATAAATGTGGATGTCCTTGCATTTGGGGGCATAGATGTTTAGAATTGAGTCTTCATCCTGATGAACTTTTCCTGTGATAAATATGAAATGGCCTTCTCCATCTCTTTTGATTAATTTTAGTTTGAAGTCTATTTTGTTAGCTATTGGGATAGCTATACCTGCTTATTTTTTTAGATCCGTTCAATTAGAAAATCTTTTTCCAACCCTTTTCTCTGAGGTAATATCTGTCTTTGAGGTTGAAGTGTGTTTCTTCTATGCAGCAAAATGATAGATCTTATTTTCTTGTCCATTCTGATAGCCTATGTCTTTTTACAGGGAAATTGAGATGATTGTTATTAAGACATTGGAAATAATATTCCTGTTATATTTGCATTTGTTTTTCTAGATGGTAGGGTTTATGTTTCCTGTCTTTTAGTTTGCTGATGAGGGGTTATCTATTTCCTTTATTTTTGTGGGTACAGCTAACATCCTTGAGTTGAGGTATTTCCTTCTAGTAATTTCTGTAGGGCTGTATTTGTGGACATATATTGTTTAAATCTGGTTTTGTCTTGGGATATATTGTTTTTTCTATATATGGTGATTGAAAACTTCACTGGGTATAGAAACCTGGGCTGACATCCATGATGGTCCCTTAGTGCATACATATTGCCTGCCCAAAACTTTCTGGCTTTTATTCTTCTTATTAAGAAATTGGACATTGGGGCATAATTCTGAGAAGTCTGCTTTTATATGATACTTGACCTTTTTACGTTGCAGGTCTTAGTATTCTTTCTTTCTTTTTTTTTTTCTATTTTTTTTATTCTATATGTTTATCCTTTTGATTATTATGTGGCAAGGGGACTTTTTTTTTGGTTCAGTCTATTTGTGTTCTGTGAGCTTTCTGTACATTCATAAGCATTATCTTCTTTAGGTTGAGAAAGATTTCTTCTATGATTTTGTTGAATATATTTTGTGGCTTTGAGTTGGATGATGAATCTATTTCCTCTATTCTGTCTTCAATGCCAATGCCTGAGACTCTTTCTTCCATATCCTGTATCTTCATTGTTATGCTTGCAAGTGTAGTTTGTGTTTGTTACCCAGCTTTTCCATTTCCAGAATTCCTTTTGTTTGTGTGTGTGTGTGTGTGTGTGTGTGTGTGTGTGTGTGTGTGTGTATGTGTTTATTGCCTCAGTTTCAGTTTCAAAGACTTAAACTTGTGAGATTGATTTTATCTTGGCTTTCTTTATGGAATTATTGATTTCTTCCAAATTTTTGCTTGTATTTTCCTCTATTTTTTAAGGAAATATTTATTGTTTTGTTAAGGCCCTCTATTATCTTCCTAAATTTATTTTTAAAATAGTTTCCTTCTGTTTCATCTGTGCTGATCTGTTCAGATTTTGCTATAAGACCACTGGTTTCTGGTAGTGCTACATTCTTTTTTGTGTTGTTGAATGTATTCTTACACTGACATCTACTCATCTCTTCCTCTCATTAGTACAGGTGGGATCTATAGCTCTGGTGGTTGCTGTCACTTCAGGTGCAGACAATGGTCTGGTGGTTGCTGGTGAGCTGGCAGGGTAGGGGTTGGATTAGTGCAGGGATGGTTAATAGAACAGCTGTTGTCATCTGGTCTTGGGGAGTGCACTGGGTCTCTATCTTCATCTTATATTACAAATTCATTGAATCTCTCTTACCCCTCAGACAAAAAAGCAATATTAATTCTTACCATCAAAATAATTTTTTTGTATATTTCCCATTTCAGACATGAAAGAATGTTTTAAAATTATTGCACATGTTTTATATATGAAATTTCAGTATACATTTAAAATTTCTCTATATAGGAAAGACATTTTTTCTATATATACATATAATGTATTAATAAGTAGATATGCTAATAGTATTTTATTTGTAAAAGATAGAGCATACACAGTTCATTATTATTTATTCAAACCATTTTCTTAATTTCATGAAAGAAATGTTTGGTTCCTGCTGATAATTAATTTCTTCAGAGCATCCTTCACTTCCTTGTTCCTTAGGCTGTAGATCAAGGGGTTCAACATGGGGATGATCACTGTATAGAAGACAGAAGCCATTTTATCTGTGTCTAGAGAGTGGTTAGAACTGGGTTGCAAGTACATAAATATTAGGGTCCCATAGAAAATTGTCACTGCTAGCATGTGGGAGCCACATGTGGAAAAAGCTTTGCGTCTTCCCTCAGCTGAGCGCATCCTCAGGATGGAAGAAATAATGAATGTATAGGAAACAAAAACAATGAGAAGAGAGGATATGAACATAATACCAGCACAGGCAAAGATCCACAGCTGTTTGTAGTGAGTGTCTGAGCAAGTTAGCCTGAGGAGGGGCATGTCATCACAATAGAAGTGATTGATGATATTAGAATGACAATAACAGAGGCGGAAGGTAAGAATGGCATGAAAAAGTGCCACCAGGAAGCTGTAGCAATAGGGGGTAGCTACAAGCTGAAGGCAAATTCCTGGGGACATTAGGACCATATAGAGTAGAGGGTTACAAATTGCCACATACCTGTCATAGGCCATTGATGCTAGTAACAAACACTCAGCTGTCATGAAAGCTAGGAAACATCCTAACTGAGCAGCACATGCATTGAAAGATATCACATTTTTTTGGTATAAGAAATTCCCAAGCATCTTGGGTGTAATGACAGAAGAGTAGCAGAAATCAACAAAAGCTAAGTTGCTAAGGAAGAAGTACATGGGTGTGTTGAGTCTTGCATCAGTTCTAATGACCAGAATCAAACCTAGGTTGCCAACTGTTGTGAAAAGATAGATAGATAGGAATACCACAAAGAGGGGCATCTTCAATTCCTGGCGATCTGTGAGGCCCACAAGAATGAACTCTGTCACCTGGGTGCAGTTTATATAAGCCATGAATCTTCATGAAATCTATGTGCAAATCAATAGAAAAGAATGTAACTAATATTTGATAAGAATATTTTATCTTAATGTAGTGAATCACAATTGAATTTTAAACACAAAACAAATTGAATTGTAAACTGATTAACCTTTTTGGAATCAGAACAAGAGATGATTATGAGGAGGCATTTTCTTGGAGACATGTCTCTTACTCTAAACTGATAGTGGGATAAGATCCAGTTCACTGATTCAGTCTTTTCGTGAAGTTGCTACTGATTATTTACAAGTCAACATTAATTGTTTGAATATTTAAAACAAATATTTATCAGAAAATGTTAACATTAATACAAAAATGAATCTATCCCAATGCCATCACCATATCTGTTTGACATAAGCTACATTTTGCTTCTGCAGAAAACATACAGAATTCTCTTCTTCATTTCTATATCTACTACATACCCTGTAGAAATTATGACAGCTAATTACATGTTGGGAGTCAGATGGATCCTATGCTTTCTCAAAGGCCCTAATAAAAGGACAAAGGGAATTCTGTCCTTTGTCCTTATCCAGAAACAGACTCAGTAAGGCCAGAATAGACCAGAAGTCACTGCCTGGAAGGACTAAAGGCTACACTTTCTGGAAACTCTTTCCCTTGGGTTGTAGTTATCAGTTCCAAGGTAACTATGTCTGAAGCATACAGGTTTCTCCTTGGCAATTTTTCTAATTTAGTTTTCTGTAAAATTGGCTCATTCCTTCTACCGCAAATAGTTCACAGGATGCTGTATGTTTTAATAACTTGCTTGGAATCAATCACCATTTTTTGCAAGAGACCCTGATCCCAGCTATTGTTTTGTATTTTTTATCTTTCAATATTGGATCATCCCACTTGACACCTCACTGTTTAGGACCTTCATCCTACAGGTTCCAGTCACCTACAAATGTTTGTAATAGTCTTATAAATGCATCTGGGTAGCATGATGTCAGACATCATAATGGGTATTAAGGAATATTTATTTCTATCTTTTTTTTTTAACTCTGGCCTCTTATGACATATACTTTTTACAAATGAAGGAGAATATTCTTGAAAAGGTTCAGTATCTGAAGTGAGGTTAGACAGCTAGAATTAAAAAATGGGCTTTCTAACAAGGTCCAGAGCATCTCATGAATATATAAATATATATATATATATATATATATATATATATATATATATATACTCACTATGGTGGCATATCTGCACTCAGCAGAGCACACTCTAAGAAGGGGGCAGATGATGTACAAATGCAAGACAAAGATAGTCAGAAGGAAGGATTCAAGTGTAATAATGCATGCCTGTATTCCCAGAATTTGTGAAGTGAAGGCAGCAAGAATCAGGAATTGAAAATCATCCTGGTTTATATATAGAAAGGCCAAGCTGGGTTACCTTACATACAGTCTCATAAGTCTCTTAAAACAGAACAATAAGCAACAAAAAGAAAAAACAGCAAATAATAATTAAGAAAGATACACAGAAGAGAGTAAAATAATATGATAAGAGCATAGGCAATAATCCAAAGGTATTTAGGGTAACTGCTTCAATTGTATATCTAAAATGTTTCTGTTTGATTTTGTGTGAGATACAGTTATAATGTAATCTTCCTATGTAAGACATATTACATGCTTAAATTCATTGCCTTTATACATTTAAAAATAACTTTAATTAAAAAGGAGCATTGCTTCCCAACTGATTTATGTCAATTCATTAATATCTTGTCACTTTCTTTGTGACTGTTGTACACAAACACACAAACACACACATGCATACACACATGCACACACACACACACACACACAAGCATACACACTACATCAATGTTATTCATCAGTATGGTACTTTAAGTACAGTGTCTTCATATATTTGCTTGTCATTTTAGACTATTTCCTTTGTTCAAGGTAATATACCATAATCCATTTTTCTTGCCACCAAATCTCATAGTTTAATATATTTCTCTCTATATGAAAAATTTAATCAAATTTGATAAAAACATTAATGACTTTATAAATATCATATTTCATGAAACATTATACCAAAAAAAAAAAAAAAAAAAAAACTACTTGCAGTTCCTGGTTTCTATAGTTGGTAATTTTTTTTACTCGTTTACTCTTTGGTCTTTGATGGCATGCCACTCAACTCCCAAATAAATACACTAAGGATTATTCTTACTTATGAATGAGTGGTCTTAGATTGGCTTGTTTCTAGCCAAATATTCTTAAGTTATATTATCCCAATCTACCTTTTGCCTCTGGGCTTTTACCTTCTTCTATTTTTCTCTATCTTTTCTTTATTTGTTACTCTATGGGCAGCTGTGTGCCTGGCCCCTTGTGTCCTGTTTCCGTTTTTCATTTCTCCCCTCTTTTCCCAAATTTCTCCTCCTTTTTATTCATTTTGCCTCCCAGTCCTGCCTATCCTTTCCCCTGCCTTGCTATTGACCACTCAACTCCTCATTAGGCAAGTCATGTACTTTTGACAGGTAAAGTAGCACATTGTCACAGAGTTAAAGAAATGCAACATAAAAAAAATGTAACATCTTTTATCATTAAACAAATGTTCCTCAACATACACAAATATAACACATCTTTATCTAATAGTCTACAACAATTATTTTTTGACTAACATATTTGAATGTCTAAGATGGTGAAATTGTTTCTTTGTTTATTTAAATTTATTTAATTTAGAAACAATCTTATTTTACATATTAATCATAGTACCCTCTCCCTCTCATCCTCCCATCCTCCCCCATCTCACCCCCTATCTATTCCCCAGGGAGGGTGAGGTCTTCCATGGGAGACCAGGAAAACTGAGTCAGGGGAAGGAATTATTTCTTTCTTTTAATTTGAGATGATTATAGAGCAACTACTACATTTTGGTTAATAATATTCAATTTCAATTTATTTTGTAGAAAAGAATTGCATTATAGGATTTCTTGAGATGGTTCTTACTGGCCAAGCAAGGAGACAAGTTTAACTTCAAATCTCAAACACACACATTAGAGCCAGGAACAGTGACAATATTCACTTCTAATCCAGGTACTGGGTGAACAGACACTGGAGGATGCCTGCAGCTCAGTGGCCAGTTTAGCTCAATTTGATAGATCTACGTCTTTAGAGAAAACTGTCTTGAAATAAGGTGAAAAGAAGTTAAAGTTGTGATCTCTTACCTTTACAATTATATGCCATGTTGTACTCACCAAATGTACACACACACAACATCTCATACACACACACACACAAACACACACACACACACTTCATTCTGTACAATCTTTAATAAGCATGGGAATATAAAAATTTAAGTACATGAAGAAAATACAAAGTAAGGAAATTTTTAGTCTCATATTTTTGCTTTGATATGAATAAATAATTATCAATCTTCAATTTAGGGAAACATTTTCAAATAAGAGAAAGAAACTTATGCCTTACTTTGTAAATCTGCCTGACAGTAACATATTTTTTAGCCAAGATCAAGTATTGCAATTGTATGCCTGTGGTGGCATACTCCCTTAATCTCAGCACTCAGGAGGCAGAGGGAGGCAGATCCCTGTGAGTTTGAAGCTAGCTTGGTTTACAAGGTGAGTTCTAGGTCAGCCAGGGCTACACAGGGATACCCATCCTTGAAAAATTGAAAAAAGCTACCACAGAACAAATGAAAATATCCAAAATTATACCCTCATAGATAGAAATATGGCTGTCCAAATATTGAAAGTTTACCGAACTCACATTTTCCTTTGCAAAAAAAAAAAAAAAAAAAAAAAAGTTCAGCATATTCCCCATCTCATAGGATTTCATTATGTATGCTTAGCAGTTTTCTTTTCTCCACCCAAGTCTCACCAACTCTAGTAACACCAGCATACTTGGGTTCCCTTTAACCATTTCTTGTTTTCTTGGGGGTAATTTCTGGAATACCGTATCACATTTCCTTATACCCAGAAATTTCATCAGTTGCTTTGAACTTATAGTCCTGTGCAAAAGAGATATGTGTGTACATATATTTACATAATTGTGCATATATAGTGAACCAAAGACATAAAAAACTATTATTTTCAGAGAAAATCTTACACATGTCCTGTCTTTTCCTAGTGTTCCTGCAACATAGAGGCTCAGTAGTTCCTCACAAAATGCATATAAGTTAGACAAATCATGAATGCTTTCTACACCAGTAGACTTTCTTGACACTCTGCATCTACTTCATGATAGTTAGTTCATTTATTTATTTTGAATTATTTTTTATATATTTTGTATTATAACATTATGAAAACATTTCCAATTTATCTTTCTTCCTTCCAATACCTCTTATATAAGCTTCCTTGCTTTTTCAGTTCATGGCTTCTCTTTCATTAATTTTTGTTATACATTTATATTCATAAATACACAAATACAACATTCTTAATCTGTATAAAATGATTTATGCATATGTTTTTGTGACTGAGATTTGATACTGGACAACCAATTTGTGTGATGTTTCCTGGAGAGACTATGTCTCTACTCTCAGCTTTATTTAGGTGTCTGTACTTCTTTTTATAGAGTTGAGACCTTGGTGGCTTCCCTCTGTCTGCATTGTCATGTCAGCTGTGTTTTTATCATAATGATAACATAGCATTAAAATTGAGGCGAGTGCTTAAATTAGGGCGATGCTATGCACTGTTGATTTTGTCCCTTATTCTTATTTAGAATTGCTTGGCTAAGGTAGTAAAATACAAAATAGAAGTAAGCTCCTCCTTCAATCATACATGTGAAATTTTATTCTGGGTTGAATACTCATGATAAAATAGAAAGAAAAATAAAATGACTGTAGAGGAGTTTTAAATCTAGGCATACATATTGGTTCCCTAATTACAATTGCTCTTCTAATGAAATATAATTATGGAAAGGCAGAATTTTAAGAAATGAGGTTGTGCTGTACATTATAATATTTCTTGTGAGTATCTACCCTTTTCAAAATAACTTAATAGATTTTAGAATTCTTAAATCTTTCCCCA